TTGGGATTCCATAGAGGGGGGGTGGTAATTTGCAAATCAAAACAAGAATCTATGGAAGAAGATAAAATATGTGACATGCTGCTGAAGTTTGGCATGTTTTCAGAAGATCCATTACTTAATCTCCAAAGTATATGTACAAAAGATGTACTCACAGAAACAATCAACAGGCTCGACAGTTTGGCCAACAACAACTGGATGTCTTTGTGTCTTAGAGGTTGATACCAACAGGGTCAAATGAAAGACACAACATTTCTTGATCTACTGAGCAAGCACCAACATTTTTTAAACTATATGCCTAATCCCAATATAAACGAGCAGAAAGTTGTTAAGGCAGACAGGAATGTTTTGCAGAATCTTATCACTGCATATAAAGCTAACCACAGACCTGTGGGCATCAATGAAATCATGAAACATGAGCTGATGTCTTTTCCTATAGCCCTCATTGACGAATGAAACATTCAAGCCAACTCAAATGTACTCTACTCCTTAACTGTTTAACAAATGGCATTGAAATGCCAACCGTAATATTTCCAATGTATGATCCTTCTTACAAATTAGCATCAATTGCATCTACACCTTAGGATTTGGCTACAGTCTTCAAGGAAGCAAAACTTCAGCAGTGAAGTGTACTGTGCCCCATCTTGCATACTTTTGGTGGTCATATCTCATGAAAAAAGGATTCATGCATTGAAATACATTGAGATGAAGCTCCCAATTTCCCTTTCTTTGGGCTATGGTGAAGCGTATCAAGATTTGGACCATGTCCATGTATTACTACCAGAATGAAAAGTAATCCTTGTCTTCCTTGTTCAGCTCTATGAAGGATTGTAATTCTGATTTACAAGAGTCATCCGAGATCACATCAATCAGTTGCTTTATTTGATTTCCAGATCCAATGTTGTGGTTAATGTCATTCTGAATCTTTTTTGAATTTCCCCTTAATATGGTCCTATTGGATTTAAATTGCCCAAAAATTGCTACTCTGCAAAAACTCTCATTAACTGAAACATCCCACTAATTCAAAATGTTGTCAAAGTGAGTATACGCCATTTGTCAAGAATTTCTGCCTTAACTCCAAGAGTAACACAGAAAGGTAAATGGGGACAGGGGGGGGGGGATTTTTTAATATGACTAAACATTGTACAGGGAAGAAAACTCCATAAAATGAAGATTTGTATGAATCATTGGTACTTTTGCTCTCACTTCATGCAATTGTCAGGCTGCTTAGAATGAAATTAGCCTTGTCTTCCTAGTTCAGCTCTATGAAGAATTGTAATTCTGATTCAGATCCAGTGTTGAGGTTAATGTCATTCTGAATCTTTTTTGAATTTATCATAGAGGGTTCTATTGAATACTTCAATTTTAGACCTAGTATATTAAGTATATTCAATGATTATAGACCTGTTAGGTGGTTCAAATCTGCAGAAAAACTAGTCAGAATATGATATATATCAAACCTCCAAGCTATGAGACAGTAGTAGGTAACAATATACTCTAAGCCTGGACTTAATAAGGGTATTCTAATAGTCTACCTTAATACTGTCCGTTTAGACCTTTATTTGTAATGGTTTTCAATGATTAAGCCTCTTAGATGGTTAAAATCACCAGAAAGTCAGCTTGGAATATGTCATACATCAAACAACTAATCTATGAAATCATAGCTAGTTCAATTATGCTCATAGTAGAATGATACTAATGGTATACATGAATTTAATCGATTGCAGACCTATGATTTAAGAATGAATTTTCAATGATAACACTTAAAAGATTGTTCAAACCACCAGAAAGCCAAGCCAGGATATATCATACATCATTTGTCTAAGCTAGAAAACTAATATTGGTACAAATATGTTCATAAATAAGAAATTATAAGGGTCTTCCAAGGGTATACGTATAACTTATCAATTTTAGACATCATATTTCATGAATTTTTAATAGTTGAACATGATAAAAAGCTTAAATCTTCCTAAAACTTTGCTAAAATAAGTTTTATATTTTAGATTTATTTTAAAATGCTAAATATATGAACACAGAGGGATAAATGTTAAAGCAATAGGGGTCAGTTATAGTCACACATAAAATCAGTCCCAGCTAAAATGTCATTTTTTCTTAAATTCACTAATTTTTTTCAAGGCAATTATCAAAGAAATTACTTTGATTCTTGCAGGATTAGTAAACCAGGTATTATGCCTTTTACATGGATTTTTTTAGCATCCATCATTGTCTAATAAAAAAGTTATGACACGAAAAGTAAAAAATGGGTCATAAATTTGCCCCCTGGGGTACATACTTTTTGCTTTTATTCAAATTTCTTAAGGGTAATCCGTATCATTCATACTTCAAATGTTTATTTTATACAATGTCCATGTATTTCACTTACAAAAACAATAAAATCAAAGTTATTTTAGGTTGATGAATTTTTTCCCCCTGATAGTGGTGAATTTTGGGGGTAGGGGGACTAACATGGTATTTTAAGGGTTAAATAATCATATTTCAGCTTGCCAACATGGTTTTTTGGATTCAGCATAAAAAGTTACATACGAAACACTTGTCAGAACACTTTTAACACTAAACGCCGACCTTTTGCAGAAAAGCACCCGGTCTAATAGACGCCATAGATCAATGTATAGGTCAAATCTGTGGATATAAAGTCGTGCATCAACTAACAATGCTTTTTTCGTGCTTCCTTTCCAAACATATTAGTGATAATATGACGTATATTTGTGCAATGTACTATTGTATTCTGTAATTGTGTTTTGGGGCAAAACTGACCAAATATCAATGATTTACTAGACAATTGAGAAATAAGAACCCCGTTAAAACCAGAGCTATATGGTGACGAGAGGCTATATACAGACCGTACCTGAGCAATATATCATTGGCTTTATCAGCAAAATACATAACATCGATGTTTTCTATGTTTGGCGATCTCCAATTCAGATGTCAGTTTACTCTTTTTTGAGAGTTTCGTTTCACTTTCATGACGAGGCCATCACATTTGTAGAATGAAATGATGGACTCTTTTGGCTTTAACATTTTTCTATTTATACTTTTTGGCCAGGCGAGGAATCAATCTGATAACGATTATTTGCATATTGCTGGATGTGCTGTTTCTGAGCGAAACCTGATATTTTTTAGAAACAGGGACATGAACAATCCATATTCTTTCATTCAAAAGATAGATGTCACTATAGCATTAGGCCTAAGCGGAGACTGAAATAAGTAAAAATACCAATAAGGCTCTTGTACTTATATTTCTACGATGACACTTCAAAAACTATAACTGAGACGTTTTTGTTTGATCATACAATATGTCATACTGTTTAATTTGTGAAGGTGTTATATTGAATGAGGCCATCGTCAAATCATCATGAGTTTGGTGAATACACTCGTGACTAAGTGCTATTATCTGGGCATAAACTTATGAAATTGATAAGTCATGGCACTTTATTCAACCCTGTGATAAAGAGTGAGCCGTCTCCTCCATTCTAGCATTATATTACATAAGCATACCAGGTGGTTGTAATTCAAATAAATGATATACAATTAAAATTAAAATTAAGGCCATTTATCCGGGTTTGCATTTGTAATTTCCTGTTGTCTACTCTACGAAGAGCTCTCCCCTGGGTGCCAGAGCAGCTAGTACTGAATCTCTCTTTTAAGAGGCGAAACAGAACTATTGCAAAGGTAGTAAAACTCTCTCTTTTCAGGAAAAAAGCAATAAATGGCCGTGTTAGGCATTTGGTCGTATGCCTTGATATGACGGATTCATTAGTTCATTTTGTTCGTCGCACTCAAACAGATAGTCTTAGGTTATGTTGATATTTTGTTTGTTATTGTTTATAAAAGGAAATGACAGTAAAACTTAACTAACCCAAACGCAACTGGGACCTACCAGAAGTGTTTGTTCACGTTGACATGTCCACATTCGAGTTTTTTAACATAGAAAGCAATGACGTATTGAAGAATGGAACGGAAAAAGTGTTCACACAGAAAGGTGTTCAGATTGATGGCGTTCAAATACAGGGTGTTCAAAAACAGAAACCCTTCATCTGTTCATTTTTATCATGTCTTTGTCATCATAGGAAATTAATGTGACATTAATTTCTATAAATGTCTTGCCGAATATCCGTAACTTTATACCGATGAGTTGGGAATACTAAGTCTATCCTTTATGAGACCTGGAATACGTTTTCACTCTTAAAATGAGCTCTTTGATTAACCGATCATCCTATCAGAATATATGCAGTAAGAATATAAACAAGCGTTTATTTAACCTATCATTTTCGACTACACGTACTGATATTTTTATAGCCCTCGCCAGCAACGAAATTGTTCATCTGTAATAGTGAGAGGGTTTTTAGGCTAACTGAAGCTGATAGTGATTCAGGGTACCATAAGGGGCAGTTGTGTGTGGGGTTGTCAGAGGTCGACAACTTTATCTCAATAATCAACGACCAAATAAATATGTCAATGCCGGCAACGAAATAACTGATAATGGTAGTGTACATGACAACGTAACTAACGGCAATGTTTGTTTTTTAAATACTTTACTCATTGGCCATTTTATTTCGCAAATGAGGTTTGGGATCAGAACTTATACGTTAAATTGTAGAATCATGGTCTTCTGGGAATTCATTTTTCCTTCCTGTAATTTGTTTGCTGTATTGAGTCAAAATGGCGCCCTGGGGTCATGATATTTCACGTTCACGTAACAATTCTCATAAAAACGTCATTTCAAAAGACTCGGTAACAAAAAATACGCTGTGATGTTATTCCGTTGATAACCAAACGCCATCTATCACCATTGACTTGAACAATGTCAGCTACTTTTTGGTTGTTGAATAAAAAGCGACATACCATTAGTCAGATGAGATAAAATTGGTATTATTTTGAAAAACAAAACAACACATATTTGATGACGACAACTGTTACCGATAGGACCCCAAATGGGGTAATTAGATCATCACATTGTCATTACGTAATGATTATTTACTTACGTTCAATTTGAACATCCATCTCTTGATTGTTGTTTTCTGTTTTAACAAGATATTCCTTTTATCTCTTTGTATATTCCAAATCAACATAAAATTGAATCCTTTTGTAATCCAAGGTCTTCAGACGTCGGCATCTGTTTTGAAATTATTTTCGTATATTCTTTATATTTTAGCTATAGTAATAACACTCCACAGCCTACTCGCGCAGTTTCTTCAACTTTTGAGCGGTTGATTTCAATCCTCGTATACTTGTATATAGATAGGCCCCTATTCCCTAATTTGATGTTTATTACCCGGAGGTCAATAATCATTCGATGTAATATTATATATTAACTGGTCACTTATTATAGTTGCCTAATTTAATCAAATTAATGAATCATCGCCAGTCCAATTTTGTAATAATTGCCCCGGGTTTATAAATCCAGCTGTCTATATGTTTTAAGTCACACTTTTCTTGGTTGACAACTTTATGCGCAGATTTTTGTCATTTAACCGAGTTAAAACTTTTTTACAAGTGTATATTCGTTAGCTATTGTAAAAGTTCCCACTCATATCCGAATGTAGTCATTTCCTTGATATTTACAGTTGTTAAAATCGTAGGCCTAGTTATGCTGTCAGATTTATAGCTTATAGGAAACCAAAATCCTGATCAGCTCGTTAAAAGTCTGCAAAACATATATGTTTATCAAAACTACAAACAGAATTATGTTCCCATCAATTTACTGTGTATTCATCCAATTTTTTAAATTTTATATCATTTGTCTCTCAAATTACAAAATGACACACACACACGGGTATTAATCCAGTGAGTGGCGAGTAGAATTACAGCGTTGACTTCACGCCCACAAAAATGGATCATACAGTCGACCAGTATTTGCAAAAATGTGTGTCAGAAATACATATCTACTCGCCTTGTCAAATTAAACACTCAAATTAACATGTGAACGCGTACGTTTAATCAAAAACTTAAAAACGTCCAAGTAACATTTCTTTTGAAAGGTGCAGTGATAACTTGATGTCATTTTGATGAATGTTGTTTGTTAAGTGACCCACTCTTTGAAGTTTCAACAACAGGCCTTGACAGTTTTGATACCATCGATACGTAAAGTGGATGTTGGGGCCCTACGTCTTAATTCTTTGTTTAAAGGGAATTTTGAAAAAGTGACAAGATGGCCAGGTTTGTTTGAGCTTAAATTGCAAAGATACTTTAAAGAGTATAAAACGAAATCAAGTGAGTTTTTGAGGGAGGAGGATTTGGATTGACCATTACTGTTAAACGCATATATGTATTTGCAGTTTTCTTTATTTTGTCAGACAACTTAGTCTCGACATAAATTAGTTTATACTCGATTCATATCGCCCTCGATTTTTATACATGTGACATCACGCATAAAAAGTGACACGTTTTCTGAATCAACAAGAATTTAACGGTTGTTCCTCTTATAATTTATTTCAATTATGCGCATCAGATCACTTCAATTTTTGTGAATCACAATTTTTTATCTTTTCACAAGTTAAATTGTTTGTTTTTAAAACATGTGGTTAGAACACACACTTATATATTCAACATCTGGTATGTTGCTTTGGAAAATGTAGGTTCATGTCATTTACTGTAAAAGCCCAAATTTTCAAGGTGCCCTAAGTTTCACTATTTTCGCTAGAGGCTAGAACGTTAAATTAAATTAAAGGCACAGTGAAAATTTAGTGACTTTTACAGTATCATGCCCTTGTGTACCCCTCCCCATGAAATCCACACCTTCAATATACAAGACATGAAAGGGAACATAAAATAGAGGGATGATGTAAGATTATTATGAATACGATTATTATGGATATTTCTCATTTAGTCAGAATGCTTTCTATATAAGTGTACATGGTATTTGGGATACGATTTGTGATATCATCAAAATAAAGGGTTATTAGGAAGGTTAAGTGCACGTTTTATGAGAACGTGGACGTGAACGTGTAGAATTGTGTTACTGTTGATATTCGTCCTTTCCTTCATAATATTTACTTGTCGTATAAAGTAATAGATGTAGGGAAGACTGTTGTAATTGGAAGGTTAATTAGAGAGGGGAATAGAAATCTTGGGGTCATAATAGCAAACGTTCACGTACGTTCTCGTAAAAACGTATTCAATTACGTACGTATAGTAAATGTTGATTGGCGTCTGCATATTCTGGTAGTACGGTAATGAAATACACCACAAGCACGAGGAACCCTGATTAAGCAGAAAGATAAGATACAATTTGACTAACTTCAAGTTTTTACAAATGATGGGCATACTGAGTTATCAGCATTTTAAAAAGAAATTGAGTAGACCTCAGAAGGTTCAGAAGCTTACGTAAGTCTACATTTTTGAAAAAAATAAAGATAAAGTTGTAACATTGGAATGTAAATCTATTGTGTAACTTGATAATTTCGAACTATGTTTAGTATATGTACACGTACTTTAAGAAACCTGATTTTATGATTCTCCTGATATACGCCCCCTGATATACGTCCTGTCAACAGCATTATTTGGGCACTTTGGGATAAGTTTGCTATTCTTTTCGCTCGGTGGTATAAATAATTTGAATAAAGATATTTAAAACACCAGCTCCGAGCAGGCCTAGCTAGATTTGAATCATTTTGATAAATGACACATTGTATTTATCATCGTATTACGAATCTAGGCATCAAAAACAGGACCGATTCATGTATTAGAGATAATCTCGATCTAGACAATAGTTTCATATAAAAAGCAAACAACACATAGAAATATGAGATGTGGCGCCTGATACTGAATATGTTAACCTTTTTAGTACTGGAGATCTACCATTATAATACAAGTCATCACGTTGACACAGGGGTCCGTTTTTCAATTGGAGCAGTCACGTCACTGACATTGTCCAGTTAATCGTAATTATTTTGAAACCCAGCAAGATTGATATATTTATTTTTTCGTAGTGCAATAATATGCGAATCATCCATAGGTTTTAGAACGATATTAAGATGGCAGCAATGTAGTTGACTAGCAAAGTTTTCTAGGAATCGTAAGTTGATGTACCAAAAACGGACCCCAGCGGATGAAAAAAGATGTTTCCGTGGTGCAGCATACACGATGGGAGATGCCGGTGGAATCAATTGACCCGTGCCATTTATTACCAACCGACCGTAAAGACAAATAAACTTTTCGCGAGAAATCAATCATTCTAAAGTTGACATTTAATTGTTTTGTTAAGATCTTAACATTATCTCTGACATTATATTGCTTTTAGTATTGTCAGATACTTAAAACATTTTACACAACAAACACATGTGAACGTGCTGTACTGTCGATATTATACCGACATGGTTGCTCTGACAATTTTCGATAAGGATCAGACAAAAGATCAAATTTGATCGTATGCGATGCAAGGGAAGTGATAACATTGAAAAGCAAGATTTAAGCATAGCATTAGCATAACAAAATGTGACCACCTTGTAAGTCATATAGGCTATTGCAAATGATAAAGTGTAGTACCAATTTGTTACCACTTAGGTCTGCCGAACGCTGACGCTGGTGCCGACGATGACTCACGTCAGCCCCTTAATGTGGGCGCCGAACGCCGATCCTACAAAATAAAAGTTGTTACACTCCATGTTTAAGTCACCATTCCTAGGGTCTTCCCCCTCACCTCCAGATTTTTAATAAATTACATTGTACATTCCATGGGCTCTATCAGAGGTGGTAGAGCCAATGTACATTCTAAGCATTTCAAACATAATTTGTTTAGTTTTTCAATAAACATTGCTAAATTGCCATTTTCTTTTTTTGTAGGGGTCCACTGGAGCAACCGATGTTCTCTTTGGTGAGATAAGACATGTAGAAAATGTTTAATACCTGTGCGTGTCTAACTACCAATCCATGAACCACGGTGTATAACCCAAACGCTCCTACATGCACGACGGAGCGTTTCATTACTGAAAGTAAACAAGGAAACGCTCCGGAGTAGGAAAACTGGCTGGCGGGAATGATGAGCCATCTGACGATTTCCCCAATAATGGGAATAAGAGGTATGAGTTCCATATTTCGAGTATACCATTCGATGGGTGTGATATTCATGTTGTACTTGGCTGGCTGTTGACGGTTGAAGCAATTAGGAAGAGCTGGACGAAGCAGTATAGTTATCAAAATTCAAAAACGTATTTGTCATTCTACCGGTCAAAACCCCTTTTGTCGATACATGTGATTAGTTGAGTCAAGATTAGAGCACCAACGTATATTTTAGTCAAATTCCAATGCTTCAACGCACCCTACATTATCGTAATAGTGATTTGATGATCGAAAATCCAGTCTTAAAAATGATGACATTCTCATATTCAAGAAACGCTCCGATCTGGTTAACACAGTGAACTGGAAACGCTCCGGTAGTCTAGATCAGTTTAGGAAATATATAGCTTGTCTTTCCCTTTCAGGAAGCGAAAGAAAAGATCTATTATACCCCTTGGCATCAAAAGAAGAAAGATTAATTCACATATAAATTTTAGTTTTTTTCATAGTTTTATGATTAAGCACACATGTAGGCATGACATCATCTAATGTAGGCTTAAATCAGCTAGTTGCACGTTTAGCACCTACAGGTTCAGATGTTTCAATTTGCCTAACAAGTACAACACGTTTTTGAGAGATAGATTCGATTCGGAACTCTTCTCTAATAATCTGAAAATGATATCAAAACAAAATGGTAGAGAGTTTCTAAAATTGTGTTCTAAATCGAAGGAGCGTTTTTAGGAAAACAAGCGATTTCTCGAGAACAAGTAATGGATTTGGACTGGGATTTTAGGAAATGAGAATATATACGAGTTTGTGATCTACTACTTTGCAGAAATATTGACGTTTTCATATAAATACTAGTTTAATTCGTAATTTGTGGTCAAATCGTCATCTTCAGATTCGTTCGATCTACACTACGGAGCTTTGATCAAGCAAATAATAGTTTACCACCAGAAGTTGAATAAATAAGATCTTTCCTCACGGTATTGTTCATCGAATGGTACATAATATTTCACCATAACATATGATGAGAAACGAGAGAAACAATACTTACGGTCATAGTGGAATCTTCATTAGCCGCCATTTTATTTCGCTCCGGAGCGTTTCCGCGTAAATGAAACGCTCCGTCGTGCATGTAGGAGCGTTTGGGAACCTACTCCACAGACGATCTCATGTGATAAAGCGTCATGATAAAACCCATTAGAATCGTCGGCTTTCCGCTCTTGAAAACCCATGCTAGATGCTACACCCCCGGTTGCACAGTGTTCTCCAAGGGAATTTTTCTCAAATGGGTGCAAAAATCTAATCTTCA